CTCGCGTCCCACTATCCAATTTCACTTTTAGAGCATCTCTCTGAGACTATGCCGCACCGGGTGGAAGCGATTATCGAGAGCCAGGGGTGGTATACTGCATACTAGATTCCATAGTATGAATTCATGGAGGTTTTGACAGGCAGTAAATTATATAATCAAGGGGGTGTGGGGCCCAGTGTTGTTAAGACTTTTGCTGAGAGACTGTATATATCTGTGTAGTGCGCTCCTATACACTCTACTTATCTAACAGCTTCACTTTTCTTCCTTTATTTTCGTCTATTTTTCGAATAATAGACTACCAATCTACCTAGTAGTAACACCGGGATCGCAAAATCAGGACTTTTCTTAAGAGAACTGAGCCTATCCTACCCCCCCCCCCTCCTTTCAGCCAGATCTATCCTATAGATAAAGAGCTTAAGGGTAAAAAAGATAAGGAGATCCTATACCACCGCAACAAGTATTAGGTATATTTACTACTTTATAACTAGTAAAATTTACTTTTAGATGTAATATAGTAATACCACAAAGCCGATTTCTGCAGCAGTGATTAAATTTGTACCCCTTCTTCCGGAATCAATACTTATATATATTGTAGAGTGAATACTTTATAGTGAACACAAATAGAGTAGTGTAGGTTATAGAAGAGAGTAGTGGTAAGATACCGGTAAAAGAGAAGTGGATAGTGAGAGAAGGGTGGTCAGGTAATGTAAAGTTTAAGGCATCCATTTAGTCTTGGCAAACGCCTCAGGCCACGCATCCTACTGAGATCTCAGTAGGGACCGCTTGACCTGTAATCACCAGGGGGGTGTCGATATATCAATTCCCTATTGATAACCGTCCATTCGAGTTTCTTGGATGGTTTAGACTGGATTTGGGACATTGAGATGGAGGATAGACTAAGTGCAGTAGCCTATCACGCTGAGACAGAATCAGATAATATCTAGAGTCCCTCGGATGTTTGGCGAGGAAACAAAGTCTGCCGTCTCTGGAAAATATGTACAACTGCTGTGGAATATCTGCATCTTGCGAAGTGCTCTTGAGTCAGGCTAATACAGTATTAGTTTTACGCGGGGATTTATATATAAAAGCAAAGCGCTACGGACGCAACAGATGCTCCAACCGTTTAACGTGGCTCTTCTTTACCACAGATCAACATGGATTCTTGTATTCCAGTATTTGTTGGTTCGTTCATGGTGCTGGGCAGCTCAAGGCTGGGGTCAAGTCTATAACACATGGTTGGTGTGTAACAATGTAGTAACCACTCTCACGAGATGAATATAGAGCAGATCAGTAAATACATCGTTCGATGTTTGTATACTAATCCTTGTACATCCTGTACGTAGTGCATTCATTTAGGGATTCACTCCATGAGCTGTACAATCGATCTGTTTTATGAGCTACTCCGTCGCATATTATTTCATATATGTTGTTTTAGAGAAAGTAGATAACAGTACAACATACTTAATATTTGAGGCGGCTGAGGACGGGTGGTTTACAAGGTGTTTTATTAGAAGTATCTTGAATGACTGGCTGAAAATTGATATATTCAGCCATGACAGCATGACCGAGGTATGCATAGAGAGCTCATGTGTTTATAAAGCAAACGGTTTCTCCAAACTAACGAAAACATGTAACAAGGGCAAATCAAACCCATGAGCAAAGTGATAGCGCAAGAATAAAGCAAACAAAATCACCGAGCCCCAAACACCAACCCCCACGACAAATCAGTCAAAATATTCCCTATTTCATCATGAGCTCTGGGCCAGCTAGCTGACTGGAACTAGAAGGTGTATGGGCAACACTCGGGGTTGATGGTGCAGGGGCAAGGTCTGGCATTGGGATTGATATAGACGACTTTCCACCCCGAGTGCTGTTAGTTCCCCCGCGGCCAGAGGTCACATTGCCGCCACCACGGCCACCACGGCTTTCATGAGCAGCGGAAGCAGTGGCAGCAGCGCGATCGCTGCCACCATCGGTCTTCTTGTTCCCTCGCGGACGACGCGAGGTGCCACCCCGAGAACCTGGTCCACGCAATGGCAGGCCAGTATCTTGAGAGACAGGTACAGCAGCTGCAATAGGAACGTGTGGGTGCGAGGTCACGGTCCGACCCCGACCTGTTCCTCGTCCACGGCCACGGCCACGTTTGATTGTACCATCGGCGCTGCATATAATTAGTAAATTTGTAGCAAGGGAATAGTTAATAGACATACCGCTCCACCTGGACCTTTTCTCCCTCCGGAATCAGTGGCCCGCTGTAAACAAAGAACCCGTCCTTGCTGGCAGCAGCCTGCTCCTGCCACACCATTTCGGTGTCATCCACGAATGGATCATCACGATCATATTCCTCGACCTTCTTGCGTCGCTTCTTCTTCCCATCGCTAGTTTCTGAGGGCGCACCGTTGGTTCCTGCACCAGTGCCGCCCATGGGAAGATCACCATCCATATCACTATCGCGTTCTGCATCGAGGCTCAGGTCCTCATCAGCACTCTCGCCGGCAGAGATTCCTTTGGCATTCTTATCATTTCGTTCTAACGCAGCCCCAGCAGCTGCCACACGAGCCATGCGCGCTTTGTGAGCGGCAAGACGAGGGTGCAAGGCAGCGAAGCCATATTGCTCTTCTGCAAGCCGTGCAAAGTTGACAATCTGGTTGCCCTTTTGCAGCGGAACATGAACAATGATGTTGGGTGTGCTACGCGAGTCGGGTGACTTTGCAGAATCTTCCCCTCCGCCGAACAGCGCGTTTGTGATCAAGCTAGATCCTTGAGGCAGATGAGGGGCTTCTTTGGCGGGTCGCGCTGGCTTGGGAGATGAGGCCTTTGATGCTGGCGCGGTAGCTGTGCTCTTTTCTTTTTTGGCGCCGGGTGCATGCTGCTCTTTGGGGTCGATTTCCATTGACTCGGCTGGTTGTTGTCTGGGCGGACTCGGCTGCACAGCGGATTCAGGTTGCGCGGGAGGTTGAGGTTGGCGCATCGCTGGCGGAGACGGTTCGAGTTTAGGAGTTTCTGATGGTGTTGGCCGCTGCTCGGTGGGTGGGTATGGTGTGGTGTAGGGGGTGGACTGCGACATAGCCTGCGGAATTTGTATGGCTCCACGGGAAGTAGAGGAAATGGGAAGGGGCGATGGCGCTAAGGATGGATGTGAGGGCGCAGGGACCATCGCAGGGGGTGCCGGCGAAGAGAGGCCGGATACATGGCTAGAGGAGCGTTGAAGATTGTATATTTGTTGAGAGTTCTGGTTTGGCGGGTCGATGATGCTTGATATCGCTGGCGATGCACTGGCACGATAAGTATTGCGAGGAGAGATTGCGCGAGCAGGAGGACTATATGATGGTGCTGGAGATGGGTTGTCAAACGCAGAGCGAATAGGGTCAAAGTTTTGTCCGCTGGTTCGTTGAGGTGGTGGTTGCGGCAATGGAGGTTGCGATTGCGATTGTGGGCGAGAAGGTTGCGACAGCTGATATGAAGCTCCTGGAGCTGTATGAGGATGTGGATTTGAGTATGAGGTTGTAGCAGGTTGAGATTGAGGAGGTTGAGGTTGAGCTATTTGAGTAAGTTGAGATTGAGCGGGCTGAGCAGGTTGAGGCGCTGTAGGGGCGTGTGGAGGGCTTCGGGCGTCTACGGGAGGAGCCCTCGTTTCCTCTGCCGCAGGCTCTAGCTTTGGTTTTTTCCGGGAAGCAGTGTTGTTTGATTTCTCTCGCGGGCGACGAGGAGCTCGGGCCGGTTTTTCTTTAGCTTCTTTGGGTTCCTTGTCCTTTTTCGTGTCGGGGTCGTCATCCTTCTTACGACGCGACCGCCTGGCGGTACCAGAGGCACGTCGGGCGCCTGTGCCGGGTTTGACATCAGTGTCAATAGGCCCTTGTTCTTTGGGTAATTCCATATTATTAGGAGGATCCGACATAATTTGGCAAGACAAAAAGTAACAAATTGATAAATTGACAAATTGATGGAATTTGGTCAAAATCGAGATGAAGATGAGGATTGTGTCAAAGTGGTGAAACGTGTCGGTATCAGGTCGGGAAACAGAGATTGGCGGAAAGAAAAAAAAAACAGAACACAAGAAAGATAAGATGGTGAAGAAAGAAAACACCAAGAAAAACGCGGGAAAGTAGGAAAAAAAGAGAGAGACGCGGAAGGGGAGAAGGGGAGAAATGTTGACGGAAGAGAATAGAAATAAGGAAAGGGAAAAGAAAAGGGAAAAAAAAAAAAAAAAAAAGGAAGAAAGGGGAGAGAGAAAGCAAAGCAGATTGGAATTAAGCATTACATGGCAAAGTACTGAATAACTGCAATTTGATATGTCAAGCTATATAGTACTTGGAAACATGGCGGAATTATATAACCCATATATAGAGTCTTCATAGAGCTATGCCACTACATTATTTATATAGAATTCATATTTACTGAGGTCATTGTTGAGTATTAGAGATCATATCTCAATATTCCCCTGATCGTTTAGCCTAGAACCGTAAGTTGTACGGAGTACGGAGTACGGAGTACCTGATACAAGGATGGGCTTCATTTACCGAATGACCTCGTGTTCTTTAGAAGGTGTACACCTTGTTTTGAAGGCTTAGACCTGACATACACTTCCTTCTTTCATTTTTATAGATAAGACTAGTGATGGTAGTATTGATCCTGCTTGTGTATCCCCGTGGAAGCTTATGATAGGTACGACAAATATCGCCTTCAATGTTCGTCAACATTCTTTAGCTTATGAGAGAGAGGAAAAAACGTCAATATTTTTATATTATACACCAATTGATTTGAATGATCCGATCATTATTCAACTCTTTATATATAGCATCGAAGATCGACGTGAGCTGTATAGATGCCACAGATATCAATGTGAGGAACCCGATTGGGATTAGCATATCAGCCATCTACCACTAGCCCATTACGGTTAGACTGTTCTGCAGCCCCATTTTAACTTTGGGAGCCGCATCCATTATCTCCCCGCGCTGACATAACTTTTTTTTCTCCTCTTCACCTTACATTTACTTATCATGGCTTTTCGTGGTGAACGCTTCCTCCTCAACCTGGATGAGGAATCTGGTGCTCCAGAAATCCCCTCTCCATTCTCTCTCATCGGCGAGATCCAAGAACGGGCTGCCTCCACCGCCATTCCCCCCGCACCTAAACTACCGACCTCGTCGGCCTCATCAACTGGGTTCCCTGCCCCTCGTCCGCGCAAGCCTTCTTCCTTTAGACAACGACGAGCAAACCAGTCCACTCCTCCTCCCCCCTACCCCTACTGAGCCGACTGTCCAGGATGACAAGAAATCCATCGACGAGGAGAACCGCCGTCAGCTAGCGGCCATGTCGGACGCGCAGATCCAACAGGAACGAGAGGAGCTGATGGAACAGATGGATCCAGGACTTCTTGAACGGTTCCTCCGAAGAGCAAATATCGAAGATGACCAAAAGACTGGATTTGAACTGCCAGCACCTGCGGCGGACGAAAAATCAAAACCGAGGAAATCAGTTTCTTTCGACATTCCTTTATCTACATCGGTTTCTTCACCTTCAAGCGCACAACCCCATTCTCTACCAAAACTGTTACCTAAGCCGCATCCCCGTAATGAAGACCTCGCTCCACCCAACGTCCCTCAAGACCTCCGCCCGGCCTCTCAACGACCCTCCCTTGACCCAGCTACGCTCGAAACCTTCCACTTCCCCCAGCCAACAGCGCCAATGCCAGTCCTGGACCCGTCTTCGCCATCTTTCCTGTCAGATCTCCAGTCGCACTACTTCCCCGAGATAGCCCAGGACCCAGCAACCCTCTCCTGGATGCAGCCCCTCTCCTCTGACGAAGAAGACCCAGACTCGACGTCAGCCTACCATCCAGCCAGCAATGCCATATCACTGGCGCCCTCGGCAATCCGCTTCTCGCTAAGAGGCACCATACTTGCTCCCGAAACATCCCTCTCCCTCCCGACAACCATGGGCCTGCACCATCACGGCGAGGATCCTCATGCTGCGGGCTACACGATCCCTGAGCTGGCAATTCTGGCGCGCTCGACGTTCCCAGCTCAGCGATGCATCGCATGGCAAGTCATTGGCCGGATCTTATTCCGTCTTGGCCGGGCAGAATTTGGAGATAGGGGTGGGCAGCTCTCTGAGGGACTGTGGTTTGTTATTGAAAAGGAAGGCATTGTTGCTGGTATGCTTGCCGAGGCCGATGGCGTTGCTGGTCAGACCCAAGGTAGAAATAAAGGCAATAGTTCAAAAGATACCGAGGCTGAAATCTTGCCTCTTGCGTCCGGTGTTGGTCGCCATGCCAGTGCTGCTGCGTGGGCGGTTGAGGGTATCTGGTTGTGGCAGAAGGGCGGTGGTGGTGATCGTGGTTTGTTGAAGGAAGGCCAGCACCGATCTCTATAGTCAGTATAGATGGTATTTTTGCTGCATTGAGTTTCGTTGAGAAGTAACAACGAAAAGTAAATTAACACCAGAAAGTTATTTATGCATACAGTACAAAAAGCCATGCTAATGTTCAATTCTAACAGTTAGAAGTCTACGGGTTCTAACTGAAATGTCCCATCAGGCCATGATAACTCGTATTCAACTCTAGCCATCCTCTCCTCCGCCCACTGCGGCCATCGATGTAAGATTTGTCAAGAGACAGATCGGTATCCGCAGTAGAACAGAGACGAAGATGGGAACCCAAAGCCAAATACGAGAATTGCAACGAAATGTTGCAATATTAAGGGCTCGTGCATAGCAATTTTGCAATGGTCATTGATATATCGCATCCGATACAGAGCTTATTCACTTCCGAAGAAGTGAATTTCAAGGCATAGATCTCGCCTTGCGCTCCACCTTACAGCGCGAATAGTAACCTATGAGGGAGCAAACGTGAGCACAGCAGAAGCAAGAAACTTGGAGTATGGGTATTAGTAGACTATGGCTGAGATCAAGCAAAAACACGAGTCCGCTTCACGGGGCTGCCCATGCGCATAGACACGTTTCCGCCGGCCATACCATTCAGTAAACGGCCCATTCCCTCCACATCTAATTCGCCTCGTCGAAGCATCAGCTGATCGGTCTCTGATATTTCTTCCTGTTTCACTATAGGCAGGCTTTCCTCGACGGATTCGGTCAACTTCGGGGCGAGAATCATGATCTGGTGCTCTGCTACCACGAGTACATCGAAGGCTTGCCGCTCTGCTTGCCGGGATCGGCGTGCCGGTGCAGGTAGGTGTCCAATGGCTTGGAAGTTTTGGCCCATCAAATTCACATCCTGGAAAGGAGAAACGCGGCATCGGTTTGAAGAATCAAATGTACCGGTGGTTTTGACAGCGTTGCGCCACAGAGATAGTAAACTTGTGATGATCGCGCTCTGGCGGCCGTGACGGAGAAGAATCGATTCGTCGGGCAATGCGTCTGAGGATGGATTTGTCTGCAAGACAGAAATTTGGCCGCGGTGGGACGGACTGGCTGTGCTCATCGATCCCTTCAGCAAGCCATCTTCGCGTACACGTCTTGTGGATGGTGTCATAGGCGCGAATCGGGACCGTTGCTCTGTTTCGGAGTTGGTGTTGGAAAGAGGTGTCATTATACGGCCGCAGACAGCGTATGCCGTCAATGAACCGCCAGTCACACCTTGGACACTTGTCTGGCGGTGCAGCGGGCCCTTAACAGCACCAGGACCGGCGCCTTCAATATCCCATACGCCCCATTCGCCGTCTTCGAGAAGCACCATAACTGCTCGACCGCCTAGCACCCAGTCGGCATCAATGATTCTCTTCCGCTGAGGAACTCCAGTGGGTCCTTGCTCGAAGCCGGGGTACAGACTAATCAACCAGCGACCTTCCGTATCGATATTTTCGTAATCTTCTTGCAATATGGAAGCCCGCCGTGAAGATTTCAAAACCTTTTTGGCAAAGCAGGAATAAATCTTGACACATCCGCTGTGGAATGCGACAAGGAGGTTGGCATGGCGGGTGGATGGCCACGTTGATGGGTTAAAGGCAATTGTCTGTGCAGGTGCTGGCAAGAGGCGCCGTTGGGAGACGATATCTTCTTCCACAATACGGATAGAGGATTCCCCGCGTATTGGAATTCGGTGTAGCAATAGCGCACCGCACCCTTCTCCAGAATGCGTGGCCACAAGCAGATCCCACTTACCGAAGTTTCCAAATCGGCCCCGCAACTTTCGCTGATCTTGCTCATCCTCAAATTCATGACAGGTGAATGTGATAGATAAACCTCGTGGAATATCTTGATGAGTGGTAGCTCCATTGACCGTGAGTGTTTGGATGCGCCAGCTCTTTGAATCTGTTCGCGTAGGGTGAGGAGGGATGATTGGTAGAGTTACAACTTTTGTCGACAGGTCGGAACAAACTACTGACACAACGATTGTATTTCTCAGCATAGGGGGGAAGGGGTCTAGGGGCGAGCGAGCTTCCTCAGGGAGAACACGAGGCACTGCCACATCCAGCACCCGACTTCCAAGGGGAATATCAATTTGTCGCAGAATCGCTTCGTACGGGGCAGCGGGATCAACCTCGCTCTCCTCCAAACTGAATTCAACCACTGGCTCTTCTTGTGCTGGTTCGGGTTCCTCTTCCTCACCCGAGTCAATGATCATGACTGAATCGGGGTCCGCATTGTTTGCTGTAGGCTTAGGTTTTGCTTGAGGTCCAGTCGGCTTTAGTTCTGCAAAGCGTTTCCCTCCTCTCCACACAATTTTTAGACCAGCATCGTAGCCGTAAATAATGACTGAGGAGCCATTCGGAGATCGAAGTGGGTAGCCTTTGGCTGTGTGGATGCGATGGGAGAGCGGATAGCTGAAATTTTGCAAAAATGAAGTTAGCGTCAATCGAAGTATCATAGCCAAGACCACCACCCATACCTAATCTGCAAGCCATCTTCCCTAGCTCGGACTAAGGGAGTAGTGGGAAATGAGGGCATTGTGTAAGTTGCGATACTGTCGAGCTACGGGTGGTTTCGAGCAAATGCACCGTAGGGCAACGTAGGGCACCGCCGGGGTGATGGACAGGCAAAGATTTGAAGTCAAAGTAAAATCCACTAACTAATGCCTGTTTCCAAACAAAAGCACACAGAGATATTGGCGTTAGAGGTAGGGGGAGTGGATGGTTGCGTAGATGAAGAAAGGAAGTTGTTTTGGTCGGGAAGGCAAAGACAATCCAATCCAAGTCCGCGTTCCAGCGCGTCTTCCAACTTCGACATTCAACCACTCGGCATGTCTTCTGGGCGCACTGTTAATTAAACTTACATGAACGATGGAAATGATTTCGACAATTTTGACCGCAGAACTGTTTGTGACGGCGCACCGCGATCGCTACCCCGGCTATTAATCAACGCACCATGGCGTCAGTTCGCTCTCTGGGCATCCACGAACCCTCGGCCGTCTCCTACCTAGTTGCAGAAGGAATCCTCCCTCCTGAACCCTCTGAAAATCATTACGAATGGACGCTATGCGTCGACGAAAGCGGATTGACTGGCCCCGTGGACGATGAGTTAGTATGGACGAGACACTGTGTTGTATGGTCCCGCGCAGGGATGCTGAAGCGAGTATTTCGAATGGACCCTGAGAAGGAAGAGATTCGGCATGCTCTATTTACTTGGTTTGCAGCGGGAGACACGGAACGCTATAAAACCACGCCTCCAAGTCGCCCTGAACCAACTACTGGCACGCAGAAACAAAAGCGGACTGAAACCTTCTCGACGTTGGATCTACATGGAGATGCACAGGTTGCGGTTGTACCTCCCCAGCATTCCAACGAGGCTCTTTCGAGGGCTTTGGTGATAGTCCTTAAATCGCAGGCTCATGTCTTTTTCGTGGCTGGCAATAGCCATACAATTCCCCTTCCATTCGAGGTTGACTCCGTCTTCGCTACGCCTCGGGGTCTTATTTTTCAAAGAAAGGTCCAGGATGAAAATAGTGGCAGACAACATCCGACTGCGCCGCCGAATTCCTTCATGTCTGCTTCCCTATTCGACCCGGGTGCTTCTCAGTCATTTTCTCTCGGCAAAAGCAAGCGTCCATCGACAAAGTCGTTGTCTGCTTCAGGTCCTTCCTGGGTGCCAAACGCTAACTCAGGCTCTGACTTACCCCGAGTTTTCTCTCTCATTAATCCTCATTCCGAGATGGGACTGGTTGTGACATCGCAAACCTCCCGCTGGCTTCAGAGCAGCGTCAATAGCACCAGAAGAAGGCCATCTGGGCTAGAGGTGTTGGACCCCGGTGATGAGATTGTGTATATCTCTCCCAAAGACGAACTCTCGGGCACAAACAGACCAAATAGTGGCTCTTTGATCCTAGTGGTTACGGTCAACGCAACTACAGGTATCTATACGATATGGACTGCGCGTTACAAAGATGATGAATCAGGAGCCTCAATGAAAGATAAAACTAGACAGGAAACAGGAGGTACTCGGTCAGTAAGGCGAAGCTCGCATTTCGGGATGGCGACGGGCGCAACAACACCGACCGGTCGCTCTGGAGCGACCCGAGAGAGCTTTGGGCCTCGGACCGACAACTGGCCTTCCACTCAGCTATCCGAGGGGAAGACTGATGCCGAAGACGACCTAGCTTCGAGAGTAGCCCAAGACTTTGGAGACGTCGGTGTTCCCCTTAAAACATCGAGGCGAGTCAGCTCATTGCTCGCCCGAACAGAACTTGCAGCTAGCCAGGACCGTATCACCTTTTCGGACCTAGCTACTGGCAGTCAATCCAGCGCCATGCCTCATGGTGCTGGATTCAGGCAGTCTATAGGAGGAGCAAGCACTCGTGGAAGCTTTGGTTTCAACCCTCGAGGCTCTCTACCTCCAGGCACAGGATCTGTTTACAGCACTGCCGGCAGCTTTCTGGACACCCCAGTGGACAAGCTACTCGAGGAGCTCAATAATGACAGTCTATCTTCTGGGTTCGAGAACATTGCCCTACGTGAATCGACATCTGGACTCCCAGAAGAACTTCTATTGACCAAAGTTGAAAGTTTCTCGTCCCAATTCTCAGGAAGCTTTCAAAAGCAGCCAGCATCCCGTCGGCTGAGAGTCTCTACACTAGCGTCCACCGAGTTTGGGAGCGCCCACAAAGGCAACACGGCTTCTCTAGCAGTATACGTCATGGACCAAGAGGCACGGAAATTAACCATTGTGAATCTGAGGGCCGACCGAGAGCCAACCCCCAAAAACTGGAAGAAGTCCAAGACCGCCGACCAGCGTCCGCTGCTTGTGCGTGCGGTAAGGATCCAAAATGTCTCAAATGTCTTGGATGCTTGTAGAATCGACGATAGGGATCTTTCGCGAATACTCTCACTGAGTGAAACGGAAAGCGGATGCCCCGAGCTATCATTACAAACACTGTGGGGTAATCCTGTCAAAGTCGAGGTTCCTGTGCCACTGCAGATGTA